GCAGGCCCCCCCCTCTCCTCCGCCCTCCCCCCCCCTCAAAGTTCACATTGTATTTCAAACCCATATTAGATTCAGTCACACAATTACTGAGGGATTCTGGTTGGAATGCATGCATTATGGAGGAGCATGTCGAATAATACGACATATGGTATAACATATTCAATTGGCACTACTTAAGCTTTTCCAAGTACTAAAGATGGTGAGAAAAAAGAGAAAGGAAGAAATAAAAGAATAAAGTTCAACGAGATAGTAGATTTTTGGATAACATATGGTACTAGTGGAGCATATGTTTATATACTATGATTTAGTTTATGAAGGAAATTGTGAGCTGGCTGTCATCTCATTTAATTTAATCCAGTTTTCTATCAAACTTCCTGTTTTCAAAACAAGAGCCACTAATATTTCCCAGTTTCCATTAGTCATCGGACACATCAGATCCCAGTGCTGTCTCCATCCGCACACAGCCATCAGTAGTAAAACGCCAGTGGTAATCAAGCGTTAGGGTTGGAGATATAACAAGCACACTTCACAGTATGCCTAACAAGCACACTTCACACACTAATCAGCTCAAGTGGACATGTATTGCATCCACATCCTTGTGTTTGGTTTCTGCCTCGTGGATACGAGCGCCGGCTTAGATTATGAAATTATCTGGATAGTATCAATAGATAAGGTTATCAGTGATTCAGCCAAGAGGGATGAGTATGTCGAGATATAGTAAGGAGGGGGGATTCCTGTGGTGTTTATTGATACAATAAAGTGATGAATGCAAAGTGAGGGTCAGAGGTAATGATAGAGGAAGTAAACACACCTGCGTCTTCCTGTAGGCCTCTGAACACTTTCTTCCCCTAAAGAGTTTTTTTTTTTTTGCCCCCTCTCAAAATTCAGATTGAGAAATAAACTTGTCACATACTTATTACATATTATTTTTCTTTTCTGTTTGCACATAAGTTGCATTAAATATCAGTTATTTGCAGCTTAAAGCCTTGTCACACTGCTGTGGTCTTACATAAACACACCAACACACACACACACACACAAAAACACGCACACACGCACGCACATGCAGTGACCCCCAGTTCCACCTAGTGTCTCCTCCGCAGGGTTGCAAGATCGACACCCGGCTCCTAAAATCCCATCAACTCATGTCAGACAGTCTGGATACAAGCCTATCAGTGAGGTCTGTAATCCATAGCTAAGACTTCACACACCACGCTCCCCACTTATCTGGAGACACAAACACACACACACACACACACACAGACACACACACACACACACATACACACACACACACACACACACACATACACATACTCGCAGACAAACACACTTGAAAACAAAAGTGAGAGTTGGCGACTGCTTCACTCAATTTGTGATATAATGTATGTAAAGGGAGAATCATCATATACATAAATATGTGCTGCCAGGTTTTAAGCATGCTGCCGGGTTAACAGTAAATTCAAGCAAATACAGTATGCACGTGAATACATGCATTACATACACAATGCATTACATTATGCTAGTTCAAAAAGGAGTTTAAATTCATCCTAAAAATACAAACTTCATATGTGGTTAAAATGTACAGTAAAGGCTAAAAAAGGAAGGGGAATGTAATTTTTGCTGTGTCAATATATTAGTTAATCTTTTATAAAAATGTAACAGGCAAAGAAAGAAAGAGAGAAAGAAAGAAAGAAAGAAAGAAAGAAAGAAAGAAAGAAAGAAAGAAAGAAAGAAAAATGTTTGAAACACATTTTAAAAAACCAAAGTCTGAGATATTTGATGAAAAGCTTCAAACCCTCCCACTGTGGTCAGAAATCATGCAAAGTATTATTTAGATTAAACACACATAAAAAGAAAAAAAAAGATAAGTGCCTGTTCAAAATGGTGCTCAAAAAGGACAAAACACAAGATAATTTACAACTGGGCATGCACAAACTACTGAATGTTTCCAGCATATTTTACTGTCAAGCCATTCAATCAATCCCCATTCCAGGCAACAATATGTCCCATTATCATTCAGATACATGCAAAACACCACGTACAAAAAAATAAAAGAAAGAACAAGAACAAGAAGAAAAGAACGAGAGAGAGATAAAAAGGCACGTCGGACGAGGTACCCCCGTTCATGTCTTGCTTCAAAGAGAGAGAGAGAGAGAGAGAGAGAGAGAAAGAGAGAGAGAGAGAGGGAGAGAGAGAGAGAGAGACGCAGGGTGCAGGACCCACACGGTGTAGTTCCAGCCAATTGCATTCCAGAGAAGTGACCATGGCCAGTGATAAACAAAGCACCATAGATCATTCCTCTCTCAAACGGAGCCCAGCGCTGGAGGCAGTGGAAGGGAGAACGGTCAGGCAGAGAGAGAGAGAGAGAGGAGAGAAGCAGACAGAGACAGAAAACGACAGAGAGCTCACCGCCTATATGCATCTGCCCCTCTGCTATCCTCTGATGCTACATTTTGATGCCCTTTTTGCAACTGGAATGCCATTAAAGCCGGCCGCACTGCACGCCTGCAGATTTACTCTATGTGACAAGAGCGAGTGAGCGAGCCAAAGAGAAAGACATGTAGAGAGAGAGAAAGAGAGGGACAGAAGAGTGCCGCAGCTGCCTCTCTCTTTCTCTCTCTCCCACTGCCACTGTGCTAATGCATTGTATTCAAAAGAAACAACAGAAGAAAAAAAAAAAATCCTTAAATTGTTCCCATTTTTCTAAGAGAACAAAAAAGGGCATTCAACACTTACCCACTCCCAGACACAAGAGTCAGATTCAGTGTTCATTTGAGCCCAGTGTGCGTCACAACAGAAACTCAGATATTCCTCCAAAACAGATGTGCAAAGAGGAGCAGTGAGGTTCTCTCTCTTTTGTTTGTGAGTCTGCCTGGCTAGGTTTCTGTATTTGCATCAGCCGGCTTTTTACAGCTTTGAAGCAGGTGGATGACAAAAACATCAATCTCTCCAGGCACACTGTGTGGCATGCATGCTTTGACACACTCCCCTCACCGGCTCTATACAGTATAATCACACATTCCTATTCTCTCTCTCACGGCTCCACGAATGAATATGGGGCTCAAAGGAAACTGAAAGACAAGCATGCATTGTTGGAGTGTGCTTTTGTAGTAATCATATTTTGATTGGATTAGAATAGGAATTTGCCACATCTCCAGAGTTCCATTTGCCATATGTTGAGGCAATTTTATGCACACTGGGTAACCGGGGGGTACTGGGTGATAGATTTAAGTTAACAGACAATAACCATGAGCCAGAATCACGAGGCGTCCATTTGATCATTTTCCCTCTTTAAACCACCTTACAGCATTAATTATGTTAAAGGTTGTCTGTAGCCCAAATAAGAATATACAGGTTAATACTCAGTAGCTGGGCTGTGGTCATGCAAATCTGAAACAAGAGTCCTAGTCAGTACAAAGTGGAGCATTTAGCAGCTAAAGGAGCTGGTGGAGACCAAAGCAGACATAAAAGAAAATTGAATATTGAACTTAAATTTATCTGGTGGTCTGAAACATGTCTCAAAATTAATGATAATGTTGAGCCTTAATTGTCAAACAAAATCCTGCAAGGTGGGATGGTGGGTGTGGGTGTGTCGGACCGGGGGCATAGCTGAGGGCTGTGACTGTTTCGTTGTGACATCACAAAGTTCCAGAAGTCCTGACAGCTGGTTTTAAGGCTCAGTTTCTGAATACAGGCTGTGTGCATTTCTCTGAGCGCTTTGATACTTTCGCAGTATTAATAAAGAACCTAGACCTGCTTATAATCAAACAACACATGGACATCTACCTTTAGACTATATTGGACCTTTGAAGTCTAGACCAACAGCAAACACACTGTATGGTGACAAGTCCAGCAGAGAGGTCACTCCAGAGAATTTGAAAAAGTATTAATCCATACATACTTTTGTGAACATGCAATTAAACACCTAAAGCCTACAAAATACTGGTCCATCACTGCCCACCGCCTTTCCCCCATGCAGGATGATGCTCCCCATTGAAAAGTAGTGGTTGTATGTTGCACTTTATCAGATTTAGGTAGCCTACATTTATCTATACTTAGTTGTTGGTAGCAAATTTGTATTGGTTTACCAGCTCCCCCACTGATGAAGAGCAGGATGAGACAGTGAGACAGTACCAAACTGGCCTACCTGTCTCCTAGTTTGTTCAACAAATTTTTTTGAACTTATCTTTTATGTTAATTTATTAAATTAAAAATACCACTTGTTCATAAGGAATTATTCTTCATGTCTGTCTTTATTGTCAACATTATCACATTATTTCAGAAACAAAAAAGAGAAAGTGGGACAAAAGTGAGAAGGAAATTTAATGAGAGACATGTATAAACTTAAGATGACACCTAAAAGACCTCAACATAATGGGGTATTTGTAATTTGCATAAATCTATATCCATTTGTTATGAGAAAAAAGCTCTTTCTCCTATTATTATTTCAATTCTATTGCAGTTTCATTGCTTTAGGCCACGCGTTAGCTCACCCTGCTTTTACCTGTTATCACATTTTATGGCTTATTTTAGCAGAATAATTTGTGCTTGGTTATTCATCTTGCTAGCTTTCGATCACAGAAATTCTCCTTTCTGGAACAACAGCAGTAATAACCTGAGTAGGGGACAATGAAAGACCAATAGATAAATAAAAAATATGTAAGGCTAGAGAAAGGCAGGAGAAAAGGAAGCTATAAGCAGACAGCTGCTCTCAAAAGTTATTTTTTACAGCTATGTCTGTGTTACACTAATGCAACACACACAAAAGTCTTCAGTTCTACATCAGATGAAGTAGGCTACTTTTGAAAAAAACAAATAATGACTGAAAAAAACCTTGTAATCATCGCAACTGACGGTTAGCAAACACAAGAGCACATGATACAACAGTAAAAATTACTCAAATTAACACACTGACATTTAAACACCACACCACCATGATTCTGTCAGAATTCCGATATTTTTGACAGTTAGTGAACGCAGCTGCGTGACGTCAACATATGTTTTTCCTGGAGGGATGTGGAGTTTTAGCGCACTATTTCAAACCTAGCTAAAACCTAGTCACGTATTTGAGGAGTGATTTTACTAGCATTAGTTGAAGCACTTAAATTCACGGTTGGTTCAGGTTACTGAGCTTTTTAAAATCGTAACTTACTGCTAGCATGTCAGGTTTGCTAACGTTAGCTAAGGAAGCAGAACTCCTCGTTTGACTGAAAGTTTAACGTTGATAAGTTCCATGGAGAGTTCACTGGTAAAAGACAACCCATTACTTTTACCTCTCAACAAGGAGAAAACTATCTATGACGGATTTATCACAGCACAGGTAACTCGACACAAGAACGACTCTCCAAAGTGCATTGAAAAAATATAAATTTAAGGATGTGGACACTACTACTTGTGTGTTAGACTAATTATAACATAAGACTTTAACTAATGTTCAGGAACTACACGTAAATTCGCCTTTTATTTTGACATTTGCACCCACCACTACTTACAGTGTGTCAGTGTTAGCATAAATTAATTGTAACAGCCCGGCAAAAAACTGTATGATGTTGAGGACATATTATTATTATTTTAGATATGATAGTAACTGCTGGTTTAATGCCGAACTGAATAGTTTATGTCGTTGATTCAGACGTGGTCTAAAGTTAAGTTAAACCCTGAACGTTGCTCTTCCAGTACATAAAGAAACTTTATATTGTCCAATTTCTGAATGGAGTTCTGCAAGTTCATTTTCAGCTTTATTCATAACTAACTTACATAACTAATCTATACAGTTAGATTTAAAATGTTGCAGCTTGCTGGTGCTACAAAAGATATAAAAATATAACACATTTGTCATTTAACTTCCTGTCATGTTGTTTTTCCAGGAACAGGACCTCAGATTGAGAATTCATCTGCCACCTGATTGTCAGCTCAAAAGGGCCAGGTACATATTATCATCTAACCTTCTCTTTACAGGAGATCCTTCCCAGACATATTGTTGATGTCACAAATTAACATTTCAAGAAAGTACAGTATTAGTGTTATAAGGAGTGTTCCTTATTTTAAATCCTTGCATAGTCACAGAATGTGTGTTTTATGTCCTGTTTTAGAGTTGATGTAACTGTTAATAACGTTGCATTGTAGGTTGCACTGCAGTTGGCAGCTAAAACACCTGTTGCGTGGCTATGAGCACATAGTGAAGCAGGTAAACTCCACACAATACACACAGCACCAAACCCTGTGTCGAGATTGCTGCTTGTTGCAGCATAATATTTTTGTTGTGTTGTGTCAGCCAGCTTTGATTGAGATCATGTTGATTGTGCTGTGTTTGATTTAATTATTTATTTATTTTAGTCATGTCATTTTGGCTCCTTTGTGTTCGCTGCATCATGCCTGGCGTCGCTCCTGTACTCTCTGTCACCCATTAGGCGTGCCTCACTCAGAAGCAGAGAAAAATATTTTTCACTGTTTAATTAACATCGCCTGGAAAATGTCCCTATTTGTTATGTGGCCCCTCAGGGTTATTTGGATGAGATTGATATTTCACCCCGGGCTGCAAAGTTCATTATTTTCACAGCCTTTAAGCTATCATTAATTATTAAAGCCGGTGGCAGCCCCCATTAATCACAAACACTGTGTTTGATTTGAATGGCTGGCTAGAGGAAAAAAAAAAAAATTAGACACTGTCACTTCATTATCCTCACATTCAAGGATGTCTTTTCTCCTTTCTTCGACTTCTCACAGAGGCTGCAGCAGTCGGCCGATCTTGTCAGTTTCATGCTGGAGCTGAAGACTGTGGTGGTAAGGAGGATAATGACACAGTGGTTAACACGTTCACTTTGACATTGCTGCTTTCAGACTGGGAAGTACACAGGAAGCTTCAGGCACTATCAATAGCCTTGACTGTGAGGCACATATGTACATATATATTTTGTTAGATTAATAAAAAGTGTAACAGCCTTTATGCTTAACACCAAACAAAGGCATAGGACTTATCAACCCTGATTCGGTTTTGCTGTATTCATCTTGTTGCTTTTAGCAGAAAGATGATGGTTAAGTTGTGTAATGATGTGCATAGTAATCTGGGCTCAAACTAAGAAACGCTCTCTCTCTGTCGTTGCAGGAAGTGGGTCTGAAGAGCCGTCCTGATTGCAGCTCCATTCCACCTCCACAGTATTACTCGCAGCTCATCTCTGAGATGGAGACCCTTGGGTGGGACAAGTAAGTTGGCCTCTATAGGAGCATTTACATCGGCTCTAGATCCAGTTCTTAAATGAGCAGTAGCTACAAACTCTCAACTAACTTTCTCAAATGTTGGGACAGTTGGCTGTGACCATCGTGTTTGCTAGCCCGACATGTCACTTTGACAGGTAGCTGACCTGTGTTGTTTGTGCCTTTGGTTTTGCTGATTAACAGTCGCATCAACTCAATGCTGTGGTAATCCGCTAGTAATTTCCCAAATATTTGATTTATAATTTGAACTAAAATCTAATGTTTATCCGTCTGAAACAGCCATTGTCTTCAGAAACAGGGGTGCAATAAATTTTAATCTGCAGGTTATTTTCTCAATAAGCTATTTAAACATTGTTTGTAGAAATCAGAAACATCTGCAAAAGTTGCACCAGGCTCAAGTTTTGCTGCAGCTCGACGCTACATCATCAGGCCTTACATTACTAGCTGCTCACTGCTCTTACAAAAAGGCTGTGAGGTTATGTTTTGGGAAAGTGGAATCTTAACTAGTCTTCATGATTTAGTTTAATTTATTTGATCAGTGGATACATGGTATGGTATGCTCAGTGTTTCCCACAGGTTGAGAATTTACTTGCATGGTGCAGTGTTTGACTGAGACTCGTGCAGTTTACAGTAGGAGAGTGTAACCCAGGTTATTTTGTTTAGCTACAGTTTACCTAAACACCTCACTGGCAAGCTTTTAGTAGAGGCTAACAACTCTAGGTGGCTGCACACAGAGAAGCCCCTAGTCCCTACTGTTACTGCAGCACAACAGTGTGGCCAAATATGAGTTGTTTTGAAAAGAGTGAAATAAGAAATAAGAAAGATTTACCTAAGTTGAAAGTGAGTGATTTTATCTACCTGGGTGGGTCTGGGCGCGCCACCCAAGTTAACATTTGAAAATGCTCAAATTCTGATTTTAAAATATGAAACATCTAATATTGATAAATAATATGCAATATTTTTCATAGTATTGGAAAAAAAATATATTTCATCATATCGATTACATATACATATAGTGTATACAGTTTTTTTTTTTTTTTTTACTGCTTTGCTTACTGTACATTGTATGCTGGCATGTGACAAACTTCTGGTTAGGGGCAGCATCACTTATACCTGAAACATATAATACATTACATATATTGTGGTCAGTTTCCATTCATTTCTTTTCCATCCATGCGTGCTTCTACATACAGTATATGCAGTCTGTCTGACAAACTATGACCATGGGTTATTAGGTATAGGTGACACCTGGAAATATTGTGTTTACTTATACCTTATAAGTGAACACAGTGGTCATAGGATGATGACTACTCAACAGTGTTGTGGCTAAAAGTAATTTTAATTTCACTGTATTTGGCCACAACCAACAGTGTATGTTCATACATCCTGTATACTTTGGTTCAGATGTGATCTGTTGTCCTCCTCACTCCTTAGTTGAAACAAGAGGTGAGAGATAACGAGAGAGCACAACAGAGAGAGGTCTAACGAAGTGAAAATAAATAGAAACTGAAATTTAATGTAATTTGGTTCCTTATTTCAGTTGCGATGTTCAAACTCTCAGCAGCACTCAGATGTCAGGTTCCATGCATTAGAGATTAACTGGCTGCAAATTTCAAGCACATTAACCTGCCCTTATTACAGCCCTGCAAAGAAATCTTGTGCAAGCTTGTATTTTCATTTGCACCACATTTAGAGATAATTCATCTGGGTTTGAAAGTAGTCCTTAAAGATGAAATGTAGCTATGATCAGTGTTACAACAATAAACTACTGCTGCAGTGCTGCTTAATGAATCACCATTAAATGTAAATAGTTGTTTAAATTGGCTCATAACAAGAATCAAGTGATAATCAAATGATATTCCCTGTTCCCTTCCCCACGTACATGGTACTAGAATACTTCGCCTGCAGACATACCTGCTGATGGAGCTCTTTTCATGATGGTCTAGACATCAACACTGTGTGTTAACTTTTCTCTGTACAAGCTCAGTGTTTACCCTGCCATTGCCTTGGTGGAGCGTCCCGCCCCCTGAACAGGACTCTTATTGAGAGGGAGAGTGAAATAGAGAGAGAAAAAAGGAAGAAATTTATATATATATATATATATATATATGTGTGTGTGTGTGTGGTTGTGTGTGTATAAAAAATTTTTTCTCCTTCCTTCCTTCCTTCCTTTCATCCTAGTTGGATGTTAGGTATTGATGTTTGCTTTTTTTCCAATTTTCCTTCTCCTTTTTATTTATTTATTTATTTTTTATTTAGGGTCTAGGCAGAAAACAGGTAGCGGCTGTTGAGACGGGACCATCCGTCAGTGGGATAAGCGTGCAGTACTGGGGAGATGGAAGGTGTTTGGTTTGTTAGTTTGTTTTGTTATGGTCCTGTGATATAGGTAGGGAGATGGGACTTGTCTGGTTTGGTTTGGTTTTGTGTTTTTAATTGACAGAAATACAGGGCTGCCCTTTACAGTGGTCATGCTCCAGACCTTTGGGAGGAGGCTGACCACCAGGTCTCCCAACCTCGACTGCTCCCAGACCCTCAAGGAGGGTAGTTCTTTGTGGGTGTTGGGTGTTTTCTGTACCTTCTTTTCTTTCCTTTTTTTTTTTGATATTAGTGTTTTTAAACCCATGCATTCTGGCGACAGTGGTGAGGATGCTAGCAGCTCTACTGCTGTTACAGCTACAAAGAGAAGTTTTACTTTTGCGTATTTTCTGGAGTAGTCCACTGCTTTAAATGGCGGTGGAAAAGTCCTCGTCTTTTTTTTCCCAGCTGTCTAAACTGATTGAGGAGGCAGCAGCACCACAGCTCCACATTAACAAATGGCTTTTAGTGACTCCCTTATTTTTAGTTATTGAGTTAAAGTTAAATCCAGGTCACATTTAATAACTCTCAGCCCACGTGCGATGACAGGCCCAGCTAATACCGTCGTCTCACTCGTCAGGAGAGAAGGAGGAGGAGGGGGAGGGTGGGAGGGGGGGGGATGAGGGGTGGTGGTGGTGGTTAGCGGGAAGATATCTGTTCTCCCCCAGCTTGGATTAAGCCTTGACTACTACACTCATTTTCCACTCTCCTATTAATGACCATGGCTACAATTATGATATTAGCGGAATGCAAATGGCTCTAATTGAAGAGTCTCAGGTTTTAATAGGAGAAGGGGAGGTGAAGGTATGCTTTATGCTGGAAATGAGACCAACATCATTTTCAGTGTCATGTTACGGTTAGGAGACATTATACACAGTGAACCTCAATCTCCAAAGCACTCGAGTTTCGCTTGGCGTCTTAATTTGTATGGGCCGTGCTAATAGCCACCAGGGGTTTTCAGCTGTAATGCTGTCTGCTGATTGGGCTAGGAAAGTGAGTCTTTCCCTCTCCTCCTCTCTCTCTCTCTCTCTCTCTCTCTCTCTCTCTCTCTCTCTCTCTCTCGCCATCTCCATTTCTGCATTTGAGAGCATGGTCATCTTAATTGGCTGGAGATGGCATACCGTGTGTTAATTAATGGAAAATGAGGTCAAGTAGGTCAGCCGCCATCACTTGGTGGCCCCAAAACGTGGCCCGGGAAGCTCCGGGGCTCATTATGGGCACAGCTGGCACTCCATGTTCACAGCCTCTCGGTGTACGTACCCAACGTCGCCTCTTCTTATCACAGTGTTATCACTCTGTCACACTGTGTTGCTGCTCTTCTGAGGCCAGTTATAGAGGCTCTCTGACAGCAGGGCTCTGTTGGGCCAAACCAGGCCCAGAGCTGAGGGATTAGAAGGTTTCCAACATAGATTTTCATTTTTTTTATTTTTTATTTTTTTTTCCCTCTCTTTGGTTTTGTTACATTATTGGACCATCTCATAAATTACGCTTATAATCCTGTGATTTAAATTACAATTACATCCAGTAAGTAATGATAATGTCCTGATTAGTCCAGTTAGACTGTGAGCCAGGCTATTGAATAAATAGGTGTTTCTGTGCTTTATAAAATGAGTGTTTTATTTCTCTACTTTTGTGTATTTCCTCTAAAAGGAAGATGAACACACTGAGGTGACTACATTCCTGGAAATCTCCACTGTCCTTGTCTCTTTTTTTCCCCAGTAGTCTAAACTGATTGAAGAAGTTGCAACAACACAGCTTCACATTAACAAATAGCTCTTAATGACTTCCTTATTTTTAATTATTGACTTATAGTTAAATCCAGGTGAGATCTGTTGATCACACTGGTCATGAATCACTTTGTCAACACATACAAAAAATATGCAGAGACATACACACACACACACACACACACACACACACACACACACACACACACACACATGCAAATAAAAGTGTGCGTGGTGTGCACCGTCTGGAAGCAGCTCACTTGGCTGTGGAGTTGCAAATGGGAAGCTCTCATCAGTCTTCCCAGCAGGACATCTGACTGTCATGCTGTTTCCATCATGGCCAAGTAGGGGCGGCAGCTAGTCCCTGCTATCCTGGCATGAGACCCCAGAGGAGAGGAGATGGAAATGTGTGTGTTAGCGATGCGCCGATGACTTTTTCACTGTCAATACTGTTTGTACAGACCTCAACCTTAAAAGTTGGTTGATCACTCAGTAGTGGTCTGATTTGTCCTCTCTTAATACAGATTCAAATAAGAACTTTATGAAATGCAACTGAATATTGCCTCTTATTAGTCTTTTTTGCTTTCAGCACATTTATTGTTTTACAACTTTAATATCCACTTGAAAAGAAGGCTGGGCCATTTGACTTATAAATAACATTGCAATATTTTTAGGCTGTATATATGATATGTGGCTTGATTATTATTAAATCGCCTCTAAAGCACTTGATTTAACCCTTTGATGCATAAAATCACACTAGTATGATGATTCTAGTCCCAGCAACATATGTCTGCAGTAAAAAATGTCTAATTTATATTCATTAGTGGTTTCTATTGGAACCATTTTAAACTTGCATACAAAAAGGGAAAAACCACAGCCAGGTTCAACTTAACAAAACAGTATTTATTCAAACCAGACTATTGCATACAAAGTCTTTTAACAGCTATTTAACGAAAAATAATAAATGCTGCTCATACTGTTGTCTAGTTCTATGAAGCTCAAGCTCAACAAAGACCCAGAACTCAAAGGCACAAAGCCCCTTTTCCACTGGTCAAAAAATGCGCTAAGAGCCGCTAACACCTGGCTTTTGTCAGCATTGGAATTACTCTGCAGTACACTCTGGCATTTATTGACTCTGGCTCCGACCGGCACTGATGTAAACACAACATCTGGATGAACCTGCTAATTTCCGCCCCTTTTCCTGCTGTGACGTCTTTCAGGGTACAGACACTGTAGACACACCTGTCACCTGTCCAGCACGGTGCTGTTACACCAGAAACACTGAGAGTGAGCTGCAGCCCCAAAATAAGTTTTAAAAACACACAATCACAGATTGAAGCGCCTCACACTGAGGCTCCGACACTTTTACAGCAGCACCAAGCTGGAGATGAGACGTGACAGATCTGTTTTATCAGTTTGCACAGGGACTGGCATCTCATTCTCTCTCCACTGTGTCTGTGTGTGTGTTCTGTAACTGCATGTGATGACGTCACTCCTTGCAGGTGTTTGTGTCCTCAGTCTGAACAGAAAGGCAAACTCGACTGATGGTGGCAAAGGGTCAGTCGCCTTTTATTAGTCGGTTTACTCATGTTTAAAATAATTTTGGTGGAAAAAGGGTATAACAGAAAAGTGAAGAAGCCAAAGTCCTTTGCTTCTGGGCTGGCTGCAACAGGGTTTTATTTGGTGTGAGTATGGGTGAGGACATGCAGAGTTTTGTAGTGGGTCGCTTTTGGGTGTTGAAACAAATTTGTGGTACCTATTGTGGTCGTGCTGTATATATTTTGGAGATAACTGTTGTTTGTTCAAAAACTTCCATGCAAAACCCGAACCACTGCCGTGGATCCAGTGGTTCCAACTTCTTTTTCTGTTTCTGAACTCAACATGTATAAACTCACTTTGGCGCCTTACTTCTTTCACGCTCTCCAGACATTTTCACTGTTCCCTCCAGATACGAAAACACATGTCTCATATATATATATATATATATATATATATATATATCACCCACACTATCCCATAAGTGTGTTCTTGATGTGCGGGAAATATTAAATATTTTATAAAGGTGTTATAATGTATCTATTATATATCTATAATCTATTATAACACCTTAATAATAATATTTATTTAATGGAACCTGCAAAACCTTTGTACTGTGTGTTTGCCCATTAGACCCATTAGACTGATCACTGCAGAAATACAAAAAGGATATGCAGTGACTTACCCAGGGGTCATTGAAATAGGATTAAAGTGAGACAGATTTTCCTTTTGAGAACCTGCATACTTTTATTCATGCCTTCTGTGACGCACCAGCACTTTATTTCAACAATTCAACTTATTTGTTGATTAATTGATTCGGATCCTCGTCACTTTCTTCACTCGCACCTGTCTACTAACCGGTGTTGCTTAACAGGTTTGTGTTTTTATTGCCGTTTGCACTGATTGGTATTTTAGGGGTCTGTGCTCGGTGTGTGGACCTAAACTAACCTGGTTGTTGCCCGTTCAAGAAGTTCTCATCTGCTACTAGATTATTTTTGCCTGTTATCGGCCTGATGGGCAGCACTGATATCAGTATCGTATTGACACATCCTTTAAATGTGTGTGTGCGTGTGTGAGTTAGTGAGTGTGTGTGAGTGTGTGTGTATATGATAATTTTAGAGATGGAGAGATGCAGTAGTAATGGAGGGGACACACTGAGTAAGTGTGGTGGCAGGAATTTATCTCTCAGGTCAGCTTGCAGGAAAGCTACACTGAGTCGAATTGGCATGATGATGATATCATGTGTTTGTATGTGTGGTTGTTAGAGCGCGTATGACACTTCAACACTGTCGCCCTTCGCCGGCGTTTGATTGCGAGTGTGCGAACGAGCAGACGCTTTTATGAGTCGGGCAAATCGGACACCGTCTCCCATCATTCCATCACTTCCCTAAGTGTGTGTGTCATTCCTGAGCACAGCGCTCACATCACTCCCCTCCACCACACTCCATAAATCCTCAGCAGATATACAGCCGTGTCAGCCTCAGCACAGAGCGTCCATCGTAATATACTGTAAATCTGCAGGAGGACTGTCCAAATCCTTTGTCTCACATCAGTATTTTGTCTTCAAGTCTCAGCAGACTAGAGATGGACTGGAGCGGCAGTAAATCTGACAGCAGTGTTGATGCATGCTTAGGCCAGAGCAGTGTTTTGTCCTCAGACTCAATAGGTTATAATTAGCTCAGGATGGAGTGGGTCTGATTTACAGGTTGAAAACGTGAAACTACCTTAAGGTCATTGGAAGACGCATAATTTTAAGCTTGAATTAGACTCTCGTAACTGCTAAAATCATTGCAGTGTTATTACTATTTTCTTTCCTTAGCAGTTTCAGAGTGATGTTTACTGAGGTTTCTTGCCGTTGGCAGTTGTGTCCTGTGAAGGTGTCTTTAAGCAAACATTACATCGCAGCTTTTTCACTGAAAACAGCTGCTGCTAAAGCTGGGTAAATGAGACTTCAACCAGAAAGCATAACTTGCTTGAAACTCAGGTGACATCCACACTAATATGTTTTCAAAACAGCATTTTAAAATGAAAATGATCTCCCTCCAGACGAGCGTTTTAGCTCTGTTATCGGTGCACAAGCTTATGATCTTATATCGTGGATGATCTCACTTTGGCATATGATCTACTTGTCTTATGAATCCTACAGAAGTTTTTTTTAGATATTTGATTTTAAAAGGTAAATTGCTGTTAACCAGACCATGTTAACTTTTAAACAGCTAGCTCGTTAACTGTTGCTGGTGACGACCTCGGCGACCTTGTTGTAGCGGCACATGAACCAGTTCTCCACCTGAGCAGAACAAGAACCACCGTCGGTAGCTGTAGTCAAGACGGTGGGGTTACAGTCAATCCGCTGGACGAGAGACCTGCGTGCAGGCAGGAGAACGGGAAGCAGGACGAGCTGGGGCAGGGACTGAACGTTCTAATCAAAACTCTTAAATTTAGCACTTCATAAATAAATAACAGCACTGTACAAACAAATAGGCTACTCCATATGCAACCAAACGGTGGAAAGACACGAATCACAACTTCCGGTCAAGGCTTTGACAATAAAATCAGAGTGAAAACAGGCATGCAGATTGTGGATTGCAATTATACTCAAAAAGACTGTCATATGATCTTCTGGCCAGATCGCCCACACCTAATCTCAGTCCAGACTACTCCACCTGAAAACGCATATCAAATGACCATTCATGAGCAGTGGTCTACTCCACAGTTGCAGAAAATACTACGAATGAGGAACAGCAATGGCAGCTGTAGCATTATAAAATGCAAAGTTTAAATGCACTAAAGGTGGAAGCAAAGACGACAAGGTCAGTAACACCTGTAATTCATTATCCATTTCACATTCGCCTCTTGTAGTCGTGACCAATAAGACCCAATCAGCGAGCGGCCGCAGGTGTCTGCGGCATCGTTTCCAAAAGTCTCTGTTTCTGCTCGTCCAAAATAAAACGTAACCCCAGAGTTTCATATTTAACCTATAATGCATCCACCAGCGTCTCTAAAAGTCTCAGTTTTAGGGGCTTGAAAACTCTGCAGTAGTTTGGACGGCAGGCGTAAATGTAGCAAAAGAGATGTGCTTTAAAACTGAAAGTTATTAGTGTGGATGTCGCCCAGACTAATGGAATTATTTTAAGATTAGCAGATCCTTAGGGCAGGAAGACTGTCACTAACCTTTTGAGCTGATGGGGAGTGTTTATCATTTATATAAATGAATTAATATGACAGTTAGTTTTAATTGTCATGTGAATATAATTTGTATTATTAAATATACGTCTGTTCATCTCAATGATTCTTGAAATGTGACTTCTTTTCCGTCAGTCAGGTGATGTGTCGGCTGAAGAGCCCTCACCTTACATGCTGTTGTGCAGTGTACATGCAGTCAGTGTGTTTCCTTACAGTTTCATTTGAAAGCATAAAATCCACTGTGTTTCTGGTGACTCAGCATGAAAATAATACTCTCAGCCTCTACATGATTGGGTTTGTTATATTCCACCATGAAAGCATTAAAAATCACTTGCTGGAGAAGAATGCAAATGAGAATTTAGAAGAAAAAAAAAAAAAAAAAAAAGGAAAGAAAATGTAGCTGGATCGGGGTGTGGATGTGGAGATGAAGCCTGATGTCACCATGTTGCTGCCCAAAGTCATAAATCTGACGGCCGAGTTGATATCTCAATATTGCTCTCTGCTGCTGTGATTAATGATGGATGATGGGAGTTGTCAGTTTACAGTGTTGTGTGTGTTCCCTTCTCCGCGGATGGATGTTGATTTATGGTGTGTGTGTTGTGTGTGTCCATCTTCAGGCTGCTCTCCATAGACACGGAGTTTCGAACACTGAGACTGAAGGCACAGGACTCCTCTGGAAGGCAGCACATTCTCACCGTTAAACTCAAGTCTAAGGTAACACACACACACACACACACACTAACACACACTCACACACACACAGTTTACTGTAAGGACTGAATAATTTTCGCAATTACTCATCATCAAATGGAAAACTCCGCAGCTTGATGTTGACCTGCAGCCAATCCAAATCCAAACAGGTCGACTTTACCAAACGCAATTTGCTGATAGCGAATGAGTGATTTCCATCTGCACACCTAAATCTAGGTCAAACTGGAGAGGGTGTGCAAAGACATGATAACTCGCTGTGACTAAGATGTAGCACAGATAAAACGTCTATACACAGACCTGAGTGTGATGGAAAAGCTTCCTCTATTCACAGAGAAAACCAATACACCCACACTCATCTGCATAGCTGCTGTCTCTGCACACCGAACCTTTATCTACTGGAGGTAAAGGTGCATGTAGTCTGGTGGAGTAGTACTGTAATACAGGGTGTTTGAAGTGTTTGTATGTCACAGATCTGCAGATTGTCAGATCAGAGATGACAGATTTTGTTTAATGAGGTTTTGTCCCAGAAAAACACGATGATTTTGGTTGATTTTAATATTTAATTGTAGATGTTTTTAGACTGTACAGTTTATACAGTCATGAAAAGCCTGAAAAAGTCATGGAATTTTGAAAATGATGTTTCGCAAGGCCTGGGAAAGTCACACCAGGTCACACGTGGACAGTATGAGCCATGGTTTTGTAAAGAGCAGGCAAACTGTGGATTGTGTGGAAACATTCAGGATTTGGAGCAGGGCAGAGGACGGCGCTGTGAGAGGATTGACCGTGGATTTATCATGTTTACACCATGCAGTGTTTCCCCTAGGATGGAGCTGTAGCTAAGGAGGTGAAGCACCAGAATTTTTTTTTTCTTTCTTTTTTGCACACATGCAAAAAAAAAAAAAATGTTTGAAAGCACCCCCAGCTTGGAGGTTTTATATGTAGGGTTAGGCACCAGAAGGGCTCTTGAGGCCAAAGTACATGCACTATATTTGTGCACAGTTGTGAGCAGGCGAAATATCTGTCTATCTTACATATGAGATGTCTCAAGATTTAGGAAAATACACTTTTATTGCTCTTATTGACCCTGATCTTTCTGGTCTACCTACCTCTTCTCCTGCAGCTGCACTTTGCTCCTCTCCTCTGTGCTCCTGTCCTGCTCCTCCTTCACTTCCTCTGCTCTGGCCTCCACTCACACTGAGATTCTCTGCCTCACCACCTTTCCTGTCTATTATGAGATACAGTCAATAATATTGTATTTGGCAACATGCAAAGCTAACTAAAAAGTTAGTATCTCCAGAAATTGTGTTTCTGTTTTGTGTATCTATTTCAAAACATTGTACAGACAGCAGAGAGAGACCCCCACCCCCCTGCCCCTAAATTTACCAAAGTACAGAGTATTAGTTTGTGTGTGACCCATATCACCTGCTGGATGACTGTGTACATCCACTGGGTGTTAGCTAGCGCCTAACTACCTGCCATTCGTTCTTAACTTTCCTTTTTACCAGAATGAACCTGCATCTCCGCACTGTTGTGTTATCATGTTCATTTACTTCAATATAAAGACATTGTCAGTGATATAGTAACTCACATTTTTCAAGTCATATTTTACTATTGTACAATAAATGATATGTCTCTCACTCCTGCCTCTTCGAAACTCTTTCCTTAAAATCTTAGTCAGAGCAACTAATATCTGGCAGGATTGTCAGTATCCCATAGTGGTCTTACATATTCTAGGGAATGGTGGGTGGGTTGCATGGTGAGGTGGTGCTTACCTAAGCCCAGATGACATCCACTGGGGACAAGGAAGGGTGGTGGGACCCCACTCTGTGCCCACCTGCCCACCTGGCCCTCCTCTCTCCTCTGGCACCGGGTAAAAATAGCTTGGAGTCCTCCCTGCGTTCCAGCTGCTTCCATCAGATTCAGCGCCAGGTCATCCCTCACCAGGCACAGCTAGGGAGGAGGCAGCACTGGCACGGACACATGGAGGCTTGGCTGGCAGGGGAGTGAGAGAGGAAGAGCTCTGGGGGAAGGACAGAGAGGAGTGTGATGTTGAAGGTGAAAGGAGACAGGAAGTCTGGCTCGTATATCCCCAACAAGCTTCTTATTGAAGACTTGATGAAGTTTTGGCTTCATATTGAAACTGATTGACACTGATGCTACGGTTTTTCAGAAAATGTGTAAATAAAAGACAAGTTACAACTAATGATCGCGAACAAATAAAAAGCAGTTGCTGTAACACGCCCTTGAGAACAGGTTAAATTACCTGGACTTTAATAGCTGAGCTGCTCAGTTCAGGATAATGTTCATTTCCACAGCATCAAGTCCAATAGTACAATAACTTAAACTCAGTTTCTCAGAGTAAGCGCTTCCTGCACATTTCACATTAAAAGCCCATGGGGAACAGTAGAGATTATCCCCTTTGAGCCAATAACTAGTGATTGGAAAAAACTTGTTGAACTGATGGAATATGTGTTATACAGAATTAATATATATTGATATGTTAATATAGAAAGAAAATGACTTAACCTGGAGGAAGCACTGTTTACATTAACAGCAAACAGCATCAACATTAAGTTAAAATGGGAGCACATCAGAAAACTGAGGCTTTTTACTACAATATAATAATAAAATCTTAATAAACTGGAAACGTGGAGAGAAAGTTAGAAATTCCCTCTGCAGTTGATGTAAATAAAGTTCATTTTGTCTGAGTTTACATTTACACCTTACATGGTCATATTGTGCCGTACACTCACTGAAACAATCAAGAACAATCTATTCTAAGTTAAAGAAATTCATGGACAAAAAGGTTCAGGGTTTACAATACATTACATGAGAGGGAAGAAAGAGAAAACAGGCGGCTGCAGCCTAATCTGGCTTCCTGTCCCAGACTTGATAAAGCAGAGATTGAGATGATCAATTATCTTTTATATTTGAATGACACCTCAGTTTAAGGTCCATAACTGTCCTGTCTTTTGCACCCACAGCACCCTGCAGAGGCTCCCGAATGCTCAGCTGACCTGCCGGTCCCTCTGGCCATAACATGGACACCACAGGTATGGAAAGAAACTCTGTGTAACGGAAATATTTTTACAGCTCAATTGAATTTCTAGGTGGCATTTAAACTGTTCTTCTGTCAGTTCTACAAGGTTGATGCAAACAGTTTAAACAGGCTGCTTCAGAGTAGTACTACTGTTCAAAACACACACAGAACATATGAACTAAAAAAATGGAAACTGTCTTTTCTTAGTATTTTACAACTTATTTAAGCTGCAAAGTGACAAATGCAATAACTATTGAACCATAAACCACAATATATGTCTGACACATCGGAATTATGCCACTGTTTATGCAGGTCTGCTATGATAACGTCAAACAACAAGAAAGTCTAAACTCCTACAACTGCTAAAAAAAAAAAAAAAAAAAAACTAGTATCTTCCATCTGAGAGAAAGGCAATATAAGAATTATCTTTAAATGAAATTAAAGACCAGTAATCAGCCTATGATGGTCTATTTCTAAGGTCAGATATTTGGGTTTGTGGTAGATTCAATTTAAAGTTGGACTAACCTGAAAATGGTCAGCAAGCTTGTGAATTGTGAAGGTCGACCTCCTTTGTACTGTTTGAATGATTATTAACTGTGACTTCATGCAGCAACATTTCTCATCATTTCAGTCAAGGCCCACTGTGATTACATCCCTATAAAGGCTGCATAATAATACACTAAAAACATTTAATAAAAAAAAATCCTTAGGATGTGACATTTTTCAACTTTTATTAATTTGATTTAAGTTCAGCAACACTCCTCTGTACTTGTTCTTGTTGTATATTGAAGCTTTTAAAACCTTTTTGGTTAAGTAGCAGTGTGAAGTGCTGTAATGCAACAGTCATGGTGTAAACAAGAAACATCACTGACCTCTGCATCTAAAAAAACAACAACAAAAACACACACACCCGTCACAGCAAGGGCATAGGTTTGATTTCAGAAGTAGAGTTGACATAATGAAGTTCTCCAGTATTAATATAAAAGCAAACCTTGACACTGAACGTTGGTGAGAAAAAAATCTGTGTTCAGCAGCTGGACCTTCACAATCAGCAGATGGAGTTTGGCTATTTGTCTTTTTTTATTTTCTTTTCTATTTTTTTTTTGCGACTTAAAAGTTCAAAGTTCTTTCTTGACCTCAGAAACAGCAGCACGTGTGATGCTATTTATTTCTTTTGACTTCTAGATTAATCTGGTGAATAAATTATGATGAAACTGGTTCTTGTGCTTTCTCTTCAACAAAAAACAAATTAGAAATTCTACTAAATTCCTACATCATTTATCTATATCACTAACCCTACTTAGAATTTAGTTTCATGATGACAGATGGTTGTATTTCTTCAACCTCTCGAGGTGCTTGAAGCTGGAATGAGAGTCCCTCTCCCGATATCAGCTGCATTTTGATTGATAATTTAGTGAGATTTCACTCGTGGATCGTACCACCTCAGTGTCAGACAGATGAGTTGTCACCAGAAATTTTTATGCTTTAATTACATTCCCCACAGTAACTGAGACCACATTCCTTCATTGACTTTGTTGTATAGAGTTGAGCTAAAGTTTCACCTTGTCTCATTACTGAATAGGAGACTACAGCTGAGCTGTTTCACGTTTATTTATTGGTTGTAATAAAGAGTAATTGGTTCTTTGGTAATTTTGGTTAGAAGATTGTTTGCATCAAAAAT